TATGCAGGCCTCTCACCGTTGTGGCCGCTCCCGTTGCGGAGCACAGGCTCCGGACGCGCAGGCTCAGCGGCCATGGCCCACGGGCCCAGCCCCTCCGCGGCATGTGGGATCTTCCCGGACCGGGGCACGAACCCGTGTCCCCTGCATCGGCAGGCGGACTTTCAACCACTGCACCACCAGGGAAGCCCTAAAATACTTTTTTTTCCCCCAGCTCAAACCGCACAGAAAGACTGACAACAGTCTGCTGTTCAGATTTACCAGCTAACAGCCCATCTCTCTCCTTCATACTCTTTATGAAGTTAGTGCTTAAACGATTATTTTGCCCATGTTGACTATTTGATAGGTGCCCAAAGGGGGGGGGCAGGTCTTTCTCAACTCAAATAGAAATAATCCTGAGTAAATAAGTACACGAGACATGCTATCACTTCTATTTTTCATTTTAGAATATTCCTGGCCAGTGTTGTATATTAAAAAGATAGAATGAGAGAACTCCATGCCTAAATTCCCACTCTTTCACCTGTCTACACAGTGCTTTAGGCAAATTACAAAACCTCTCTGCGTCTCAGCTTTCTTTTCTAAAAATGAGGATGTAATTCCTAAAATATGAAGAGAACTTAAAGTGAACGAAGAACAGAAATAGGAAGTTAGGTAAAAAACTAAGGAAATTTAAATAAACTGTAGATTTTAGTTAACAATAATGTATCACTATTGGTTCTTTAATTGTAACACATGTACCATACTGCTGTAAGATAATTATAGGGGAAAACTGCATCTGGGTTGTATGGAAACTCTCTGTACTCTTTTCTCAATTTTTCAGTAAATCTAAAACTCTCCTGAAAAACTAAAGCCTATTTTTTTTTTAATGACCTAAGGTAGGTGCCTTGCACATAGTAGGTGCTTGAAAAATGGTAGCCAGTGTTAATGACATAGACTATTAGGTTTCATAAAGTCTATTAAACTCTCTGTAATGACCTTTTCCCCCCCAATTTTATGGAGATATAATTGACATAGAACTCTGTGTAACTTTAAGGAATACAGCATGAGGATTTGACAATATGACCTTTTCCGCAGTTCAGCAATTCTTTTTCATACGCAGTTCTCTCTCTACCTGACCCCATGCCACTCTATTCCCTTTCTCTACATCATTTTTCCTCTTTTTCTAGTTCATCCACTTCTATTCTACTACAAACTCATGTTTACAACTAGGTTTTATTTCTCCAAGGCTAATTCATCAATCTTATTTGTCGGCTTTAAATTTTACCACACTGATTATGCAAACTTTTAGTTACTTTCAATGACTGCTCCTTAAAAAAATAAATAAATAAATAAATCAAAGTTCAAGCTTTCTACTTGGAGAAAAATAGCAGTACAGCTTTTTCCAGAAAGGCACAAAACACTTAAAGATATAGTAATGGGGAGAACTTGTTTTCCGTTGTAATAAAGAGATAGATATTCAGCTTCCTGGTATAGACAAGAGCCGTGAGGCAGCTTTGCTGGGATATGTATTTAGTCTGCTGCAACAACTAAAAATAGTTTGACCAAATGCCAGTGTTATCAATCTGTCCTGGAGACCATCTGATATTAAGGTCATGTGTAAAAACAGAACTCACTTGCCCCTCAAAACCACAGCTTTGAATGGATCCAGGTAAAACATACCAGATCAGATCAGAAAAACTAGCCTCATGACAGTCTTTCTCAGGTGGCTGAAGGTTCTGTTGAGAAGAAATGGGTCTTCATGAGAATGGATTTCTTTCTCCATTCTGCTGCTGGATTTCAGCCTGTACTGGAAGGACAGAGCTATAGAGCCTTTTGACTGATAAAGGGAAGTTTGTTTTTTAACTTTTCTTTAAGTGACAACAGTTTTCATTGCCAAAGGAACAGGACATCTTTAGCAGGTGCTGTTAATAATGGGATAGATTTTGGAGATGGAATTGCCCCTGCTATAAAGACACAATTACCAAAATAATTCCAACCTGAAACTTGAAATATCAGGCCCTGTGGACCCAAACCCAACCTTAAAAGAATATCCAAAAACTTGTACTGTTCGGAGAATACTTTTGCTCTACTGTAGTTCAAAATCCTCGTTGAAAAAGCAAGGGACCACTGATGGGGGGTTGAGAGTGGAGTGTGTAGCCCACCTGCTCTTTCTCAACCAGGAAATGAGTTTTACTTTTAATAAAACTGATACCCAAGCTTGTGACAGCCGAAATAAATCATCAGCTCTGGGTGGTGTGTGTACGTATACAAGCAAAGCAAACAGAGAAATCTGTGCTAACTCAAGATAAGGGTAGATAAATATAGGAAAACCCAGCAGTCTACTACAGGCAGCACGTAACTCAGTCTCAAATGGCAGCAACCGAGAAATTCACTATTTTAAAAAATTGGTCTCCTAACCTCGATGGGGTTAGAGCTGGCTTTAATCACCCCTCACACCGCCCCTCTAGGGGCTTCACTGGTTTTTCTGTTAGTCCAGCTGCAGCAGATTCATCTAAAAGAGACAGAACGGGATCCGCTTTCTTCACTCACTCACTGCAGCTGGGTACCTGACCCCTTCTCTTCTGGGCCGACGCCCACGACCTGCATTAACTAACCCCTCCTTTCTCTGGCTGGAGAACAGCTGATAGAAATAGGCACTTTTTTCACATCAAAGGCAGCCCAGAGCCTCCTCAGCCTTGCCAGCCTCAGACACAAAAAGCTTTTGATGCTTATAATTGCGAGGCTTTTTCCAGCTGCACTTTTATCAAGCTAGCAGCGCCAGGGCTTGGAGGGCCTCGCAGAACCAGAAGGTGGCGGCGAAGTCACCTTGGGAAAAGAAGGGAGTCAGAGGGGGGAAGGCAGAAGGGGCGTGCCCCTGCTCTGGGGTCAGTGAGCAAGGGGAAGGGAGATTGGAGAGAAGCCCAGCCAGAGTGAAGCGTTGTCCAAGGACCCCCGAGGCGACCCTAATAGGTGATCAGCTGACCCGGTTGGAGGGAGGAGGGTGCCCTTCGCAGCATCACGGGAAGCTTCGCCTTCTGGGCTCGCTTCCTCCCGCCTGCCCCTGCGGTTGCTCTCTGCCCGCGTTAGCCTGAGAGCGCTTCGGAGGCGCTCTACTCGCTCCGCACCGGAGCCCCCCCCCC